TCACGAACAGGGTCTGAGACCCTTCGGACCAGCCACCCGTTCAGCCGGTCCACAGACGCCCGGTCTGGTTGGTGTCGATGCGGCTGATTGGAGGAAGTGGTGGGGCAGGCGGGTGCAGTGGGCCGAGCTGGGCTGGAGGGTGGATATGACATACTTGCGGGGAGGTGGGGTGCAGTGGACGCGGGGACTGGGTGCTGGCGGAATCGATCGGAGGGCATGAGCTCAGCGGTGGATTGGTGGGATAGGCGGCGGCAGGGCTGGCGCGTCGTGGGCGAGCGGACGGGAGGGTGGGCTGGCTGCTGGCCGGTCGAGGCTGAGGGCGACGAGAGCGCGCACGCCTGGCGGCACAGCTCGGGAGTGCAGGTTTGGGCCGTGGAGCCGGCAGTCCGAGGCTGGTCGGCTGACGGGCTGCACTCGCGGCTGATTGGCTGGCCGCGAGAAGTGCCGAGCCGGGGCCGGGCGAAACGTCGGCCCGAGGACAGCTCGGACGGTGCTGAGGTTGAGCCGGTGCGAGGCCCACGCCGACTTGACCGGCGTGCGCTTGCGCCTCGTCACGCCTGCCATGCCGACACACCCTCGAGCCAATGCGACTGCGACTGCGACTGCCAGTGGCAACGGCGGCAACACTGGCAGGAGCACCGACTTGCCGCCCGTTCTGTCCACGCACTCATCATGTGGCATCGCTGTGGTCCACTCTGTTGCCATGACGACGAAGAAGAGCACCAAACTGGCCCAGTGACTGTCAGTCTGGCAGTCTATCGGCCGCCTTGTCAGTGTCGCCGCCAGGCCAGCCGGCAGTCTCGAGGCCGCCAATCCGCCGAACGGGACACGTCCGCGTCCCGGAGACCCGAGCGTCCGTCGTCAGGACGACATCGCCTTGACGTAGACCGCAGACATCAGTCCACCGGTCGACAGTTGCCGATACTTGGCTCCTCTTGCGGATCGTCCGGTAAGTAAGTGGGGGCTGGTGGGCCGGTGGGGCCGGCCGTACAATGAGCAGAGAATATGAGCGCCCTGACCTCAAGGTCGAGCTCGAGGCGGTTCGACCGAGGCCAAGTCGTTGTGAGGATTGTTCACATCCAGACAGACCTCCACGAAACGCCTCCTGCCATCCATCCATTTATCAATCCACCCATCCATCTATCCATCCATTCACCCATTCACACACCTATCAATCCATCC